AAAGGAGACCCTGGCTTCCCAGGGGGCCCGGCTGGGGCAGACGCTGGGGGGCTGGGGGGCCGCTGGCTTTGGCCCCGCCTGGGGCAGGATGGTGAATCTGGAGCCTATGCACCCAGGTGAGACGCAGAGAGGGAGGGCGCTCTGACAGGTGTCACTGCGCTCAGAAAGTGGGGACGGAGAGGGGTGCCTTGCCATAGGGGTGGGGGCTTATTCCCCAGCGGCCAGGAGAGGGCAGTGTGGATAGCGGGTCGTCCAGGGTAGGTGTCTGGAGGACTAAAGCAAAGGGAGTCTGGCTAAGGAACCTTGGGAAAAGATGAGGGTGGGGAGTGGGGGTTCAGGGATCCCCAGATCCAGGGAGCTGGCAGTTAGTGGGACTTGGGTGTGCTGCGCTGCTGCTGTCCCATGCGCATGCTGAGATGGGTGTTCACTCACTCAGCTGGGGTGTGGACCTGGGAGTGCATAAGAGAGGAAAATACGTGTATCCACATGCTGTGCAGTCAGTGTCCCGTACCTGTGTGAAATGGAGCCAAAGTGAGCATTTGTGTGGGGGGCTTTGGAGAAGTGGGGGCGATTACAGAGGCACATGTGGGGCAGGTGCCATGCCACGTGGGTACCAGCAAGGGTATGTGCAGCATGTGTATCAGCATCTGCCTGTCCCTGTGTCTGTTGGGACACAGCATGGAGCAGACCCCACAGGCAGCATGTCCTAGGCACTGAAGATACCCGTGCACATGTTTCAGGTGTCACTGTGTGAGTGGGAAGGGTCGCACTCATACTCTGTGGGTCTTGGCTGTGTCTCGGCTCAGTGCATGGTGAACCTGAGTCCCAGAGTGGGTGGTGACAGATCCTCCTCTGGTTCCCATATCCATGACTTTCTCCCCCAAGGCCTTGAAAGCCCCAAGAAAAGTATTGCTGGGAGTCCATGTCCCCTGTGGGAATGAATGAGAGATAGGCATGGAGTGAACTAAATCCCCACTTATCCTGCTGACTCCTTTCACAGCTGGGCGAGGGCGGGAGCTACATGGAAGGGTTGGGCTCAGGCTCAAGGGTAGGGATGGGGGGGCTTATGTTTTGGTGGACATCTGAAGTCTGGGGCAAAGAACACTTGAGGTAAAACTGCACCTGACTTGGCCACTTTAAACCCAGCACATTTCTTCTCAAAGTAGGCAGGATCCAATAACCTTTATTTAGGATTTCAGTGTTGCTGAACTGTGTGGTTTGCTCTTCTTTTGGGGAGAGTAGGGAGAAGGCAGTTCCCCTGACCTACCCAAGAAGCTGGGCAGACTGGAGGCTTTGGCCTTTCCTGGGTCCTGCCAGTCCTAAAAACAGGGAGTAGAGGGTGCTCAGGGGAACTTGGGTGCCCAGTCCATGTTTCCCAGCAGGGCTGAGTGGAAAGCTGGCTGGCAGAGAGGTGTTGACACTCAGTGTCTCCCCAGGTCATGCCAGGAAGGGCTAGGTGAGGCTGGCATTGAGGAACCATCCAACTTGTCATCCAGGGCCTTGGCAAAGTCTATTTCCAAAGTGGCACCAACATGGATTTGGGAGTATCTTGGGCAGATCCCCTTAGCCGTATTTCTTTCCTTCATTTCCTGTCAAGAAGGCTAGAGTTCAAAGGGGAACAAAACTTCTCCAAAGATGGGCCCCAGCAGGAGGTGAGGAGTTCTTCAGGATGAAGATCAGAGACTTCCTGGGGGTTTTCCACCTCTTCCTCCACTGGATGCTCCTGTTCTGGGGAAGTAGGAGGAGGTGGAACAGCTGGGGCTGGGCAGGGAAGCAGCCTAGGGGCTGAGTATCTAAAGCAGGAGAGGGAGTGAGGTTGGGAAGAAAAAGCCAAGCCCCCGTGGCTTCCCCTGGAGCCAGCTCAGGGCTGATGCTTCTCAGAGAGCTCCTTCATCCTCTGGTCCCTGTGGGCTGGCGCCAGACACTAAGGGGCCATCACCTTGGGGTAGACTGCCTGGCTGTCCTCATTTTCTTGCCTCCCCGTCCCTAGCTCACACCCTATTGTACTGGGGACTGAACCTAAGGTCTTCACATTGAGATACAAACCCAGCCCTTTTGAATTTTTTATTTTGAGACAGGTTCTCAATAAGTTGCTAAGTTGCCTAAGCTGGGTTAGAACTTGCAATCCTCCTGCCTAAGCCTCCCAGAATGCTGGGATTCCAGGCATGTGCCACCATGCTCTCTCCAGCTATTTCTTTAGTCTGTTTCCCTGGGGGCTATCAGGCCTCCCTGCAAGATTCCTTGGTCTTGGCCCCTCTACTGTTTCCTTCCCTTCAGTGGTATCTCCAGGGGCTCTCTCTGTTTGGGAATTTCTGTGCAGAATTGCTGGCAGAGTCTTGGTGGGCTGTTCAGCTCAAGGTCTTCTATATAGGGCCTTTCAGCGTGGACCCTGTTGTGGGAGCTGGGATGGGGGTGGTTTCCCTCTTCCCTCCAGAGTGTCGTATTATGATTTCCTCTCTAGGGTCCCTTAGTCTTGGATCCTCTTTAATGAATCTTGGTCTCTTTTGACCCTATTTTTCCCACTATAGTATTCCTGTATCCTGTTAATCCATGATAGAGCACTTCCCCTATAAATTCCCAGTGCTGGGCCCATGGGGACTCCTCTTGATTTGATTCACTGGGACAGTTTGAATGGGGTGAAGGGGAGGAATGAAAGCTAACTAGGGCATAAACTTGCTCCCCGCTCCCTATCCCCCATTCAGATGGCTCAGCTAGCTCTGGGGATCCTGAGTCAGCCCATCTTCCCACTCTGCTAACTGGGGTACAAGCTACAATTCAGGTTTTCTCAGAGCCTCAGTGCCTGGTACTTTGCAAAGCTTTTCTTCCTGAGCAGGCATGGGCCACCAGGCACAGGAGCACCCAGCCAAGGAGGGGCTCCACGTTCCCAGGCCAAAAAAAGGAGAAAAAGCAAGGCATGTTGGTGCACACCTATAATCCCAGCACTCTGGAAGGTCGAGGCAGAAGGATCAAAAGTTTAAGCCCAGCCAAGGCAATTTAACTATTTAATAAGACTCTGTCTCAATAAAACAAATTTTCTAAAAGACTGGAGATCTAGCTCAGTGCAAAGGCCTTGGGTTCAATCCCTAGTACAACAAAGATAGATGGTAGGCAGAAGTGTAGACAGGAGCTAGGGAGGAAGGAAAGAGAAAAAAAAAAATAGTGTGAAGCCAGCCACATCTGGTGGGCCCCAGGGTGTCTGCTTCTCTGCTTATTGTGAGCTGTTCCTCATCACAGTTGGGAAAGAGGGGTTGAGTGTCTGGACTGATGCAGAGTCAGAGCTCAAAAGTTGGGCTAAAAGGCCTGACTGTGGGAGGGAAAATAAGAGACAAGAGAAATCCCCTGCCATGGAGAGTTCGAGCCATGGTTGACTCAGATGTTGGACCACTGGGTCCTTGAAGTCCCCCTGGTAGAAGTGCTCCCCACAGCAAGTATATGAGAGAAGCCAAGAGGAAGGGAAAGTCCCTTCCAAGGACATGAAGGTGACTCTCAGAGGGAGAAAAGTGAGGCCTCTGCTTTCCTGGACTAGCCCTGTCCCAGCAAGTCCAGGACACAGTGGACACTCAGCCTGTAGCTAGGGGATGGGCCATTCCTGGGTCATGCCAAGGACGGGGAGGGCAAGGCCAGCTTCAGAACATGACACAGACGAAGGTCTGCTCTGGCAACTGGCACTTACATGGCATAGCCAAGGCTCCCCAGGGAAGGGAACCATGGCAAGGAGCCTTCTCAGTTGGCTGAGATAAGAACACAGAGGAGCCCAGCCCCACCCCACACCTTTCTCACTCACCCCCAGCAAGTGTTGTCCGACAGGTGAAGGGTTACAGCATCTCAGGAGTTTCGATGTTGGCCCGTTTGTAGGCTGAGACCCAAGCATTTGTCCCACCTATCAACCTCAGCCTCCTACCCAACAGGAACAGGTTCTTGGTATCCCAGCACCCTATGGGACTGAAGGAGAGATTATACCGGTCATCGTACTATGCTCTCCATGCAGGCCCTAGCTAACCCAGAATTGTCCCAATGTCACAAGGTCATGGGGGACTGGGGGTGAGTATGATGTCTTTCAGTAACTTTTAGACATAACATAATTTTAAGACAAAATTTGAAGTTGATTTAAAGAATGAATGAGATGGCTTCTGGGTGTACTTAAAAGTAATATAAGGAATGGATACTGGAGGAAAGTTTGAGTCACAAGCATAAAATTATACCTTAGCTGAAAAAGTTACCTTTTTAAATGCCAGGAGTTGGATATAAGTTGATTCAGAGACTCTGGTTGTTGTCCTAGCCTCACTGCCTCTTAACCTTTTCCTGTCCCTGTGAACACTTGTTCTATGAAGGCAGAACTTGGAAAATGCTAATGGCTTCCTGGGTAAAGGACAAGATACGGTGGTGCTAACACATGAGCCTATGGCTGTTCATGGCAATAGGGAAGGTGCTAAGGGAAAGGTATGACAAGGAGGTGAGAAGGAAGCCGGACTAATGCCTGAGCTGGTGTCTATTTAATGAGTTCATTTATTAGGTGCTTATTTGTCTTTATTATTTTACTTAACCCTCATAACAACTGTGGGAGGTATGTTTTATTATTCCTCCCTTTTTTAGGTGAGAAAATTCATGTAGGTGGCTATTAGGAGTCCATGATGGCACTGAGATTAAACCCAGATCTGTCTGATGCCAAAATCCATGATCTCCATCCTCGCTCCTCTGAAGCAGGTTTAAAGCGGAGGGAGAGCCCTTCTGCACGCCACTCTCCTGCAGTCTCTGCCTGTGGCCTTGTGCTCAGTACTATGGAACAGCCCTGTGGGAAGTGTGAGCTGCACATCAGTGCTAGGTACTGCTCAGCTCTGGGGCTAACACTTCACGAGGGAACAAAGTGAAGCCCACTTCCCTGGTGGCGGAGCGGTAGCAAGCAGCTGCAGAGGCCCTTTGCAGTGTGCTCAGGTGGCCCACACTAGTTATTCTGCATGTTTATGCGTGGCAGACTGTACAGATAGTTTGAAACTACAGCAAGTAGGACTGAGGTTAGGCTCAAGAAGCACTTCCCAAATACCTAGGAGTCAGGCATGGTTGCAGAATCTCCTTGGACCACTCAGTGCAATGCGGGTATCTGGGGAGGTGTCCAAAGAACTCTGAGTATTTACTTAGGAGTCTTCCTTCAGTTGGCAGTTCTCAAAAAACTACTCAAAGCATGATTGGGTTACCTTATTTCCTCCCCTATTTCTGGTGCCATTCTAATAGCTCTGAGTCTCTGGACTCCACATCTCTGTCTTGCTTGTTGTTGTAGTCACTGCACCCTGATATATAAATCTGTTACAGCCCCACATGTCACTGCCCTAAAAAATAACATATGCTTTCTACCGTCCTTTCCTGTGGCAGAGGTCCACCCTTTCCCCTCATCCTGATCCTCTCCAGACCTCAGGCATTCAGATTGCCAACTGCCTGATTACCTGATGCAAATGAAGGCTGCCTCCCTGACTGGGATTGGCTGGGGAGCTGAGTATGCAAATTAGCTCACCAAGACTTTCTGTGGTTTGAAAGAGTTAAAGTGCTGCCCCAGAGAAGAGGGTGGGGTGAAGGGGGGGGTCAGCATGATTTGAATAAAATATTCTGTCTTTAAAGGCTTCAGTATTCAGGGTAGTTTAATAAGGAGAAAAGAGAGAGAGAGATCATTCAAAGTTGCCTCTTTCCTTCCCTCTGCTGACTGGGGAAGAGACTTAAGGGCCTCATAGTTGGTGGCAGCTGTCTGTTATGGGTAAATGTTTAATTTATTGAAATGAAGCAGGATGGAGCAGCAGGGCTTGGGGCAGCATTGGGGCCCTGTGTAGGTATGCTTTCCTGGGCAGGGTAGTGACCCACTGCCAACCCCTTTCTCACTGAACAAGTTGAAGGAGTAGGAGAAAGTAAAGATCCCTGAAGAACAAAATCTCCAACAAGGGCGACACAAAAGGTCTGATCCCCCAGACAGTGCCCTGCCCTCTGAGTACCAGATAGAGAACAGAGGCAGGAACTAGGTAAAATGGTGCTCCTACCTCTGGGGGGGGAGTTATTATGTAGAGTGGGGAGGAATATTAATTAAGCTAAAATAAAGACCCAAATTCTAAAGGGAAAGGCGGGATGGGAAGGGTCCTCCCACCCCACCCCACTCTTATGCCCCTCTCCTTGTCAAATCTTTACCATCTGAGTTTTGGTGTTAGGAGGAAGTGACAATGAATGGTGCAAAAGGTGAGAGATGGTGCAGCAGCACAGTGGAGAAAGGAGGACAGAAAGGCATGGAAAGGAGGCAAGCACAGGAGGAGGGGATTTGTGCTCCCGAGCTTATGAATATTCTAATGGTTGTATGTTCGGGAATCAGGAATTTGAAAGTCTGATGGAGGTTGCAATTACATATTCATCTTTGCTGTTTAGTTAAAGCCACATATGTCATAGCGAGAAAAATTGTGACCTGTTATTAAAATCAGTTGTGTTTTCCCCACAGATATCAAGATGAGTGGGGATGTAGCAGATTCCACAGACACTCGCAACACCCTCAGCCAGGTGGAGCCAGGTAAGGGTCTTCCCTTCTGGGGAGTGGAACAGGCAAGCAGGGGAGGGGAGGGAGTGGCTACAAATTGTCCAGCAATGTAATGTCTCTTCTTGCTTGGTCTGTCAGCTAGTTAGGCCCAAAAGCTGGACCTTGGAAACTGAGGGAATTCTGTGGATATGTGGGATAGGACATCAGAGCTTTGGAATAGTAGATACTGGTCTCGATGGAACAAACCTCTGGAACAGTCCTGGAAGGAGCCAGATCCTTAGGAACAAAACAAAACTTAAAAAGTTAAGGAGGTAGTTCACTTTTGCAGTGCTGAGTTTCAAACCCAGGGCCTCACAGTTGCTAGGAAAGCACTCAACTACTGAGCTATACCTTAGTCCTTTGGTTCACTTTTTTTCTTCCGTGCACTGGAGAGCAAATTCAGAAGAGCTCTACAACTAAGCTACATCCCCAGCTTTTTAAATTTTTATATTAAGACAGAGTCTTGCTAAGTTTCCCAGGGTGCCCTCAAACTTGAACTTGTAGTCCTCCGTCTTCAGCCCCTGAGTAGCTGGGATTTCAGGCGCACATCACCACATCCAGCTGTGATTCATTTCCTGATGTGCTGTTCCAACACACCTAGAAGAAATAGGCTGTGTTTTCAGCTGCCAAGGATTGGCAAAAGGTAACTAGAGCCTTTTAGTCCCAGATTCTTCAGCAGTCCTTCTGAAGGAACTAACTACAGAGATATGAAAATTTGCCTTTCCAAGTATGTGCATGTGGGTGACAAACAGACTAAGAGAGGAGGACTTTGCTTTTTCAACAAGAGAAAGGGTACAGAAAAGAATTGGGAAGAAAGTTTCATATATCCATAGCCCAACACTTGGTTTGAAAATTTCATATAATTAAAAAGAACACAAAGAAAGATAAATAGAAATTGTAACGCTACCAAATAACTTTAATAGCATCCAAACAAGACCTCAACTAGTCTTTCATCTGAATCAGTAGAGACATAGAAATAAGAAGTGGAAGAGAATGAATGTCCCTCAGAGCTAGACTCTTTTTCAAGTTCTCTGGAAAATTCTAGTTCTACTCTTAAGGCTAAAGGATTTGGGATCAGGAACAAGGCAGTTGGGGGTGGGGATTCATCTGCAGGATACATTTGCTACAATTTTTTCTCCTCCCCAATTTATTCATTATTTTAAAAAATATTGTTCTACTGGGAATTGAACCCAGGAATTGTACCACCAAGCCACATCCTCAGCACCCTTTTAGAGACAGGGTCTCACTAAGTTGTCCAGGCTGAAACAGTGTCTACTTGCACAGAAAGAAATGTACATAGAGGTACAGTCATTGCTTCATATAGAGGAACAGCTGGACTAAGGAGCGTAAGGGCCATTTGTGCCTATATTTGTTGTTGTTGTTGTTGTTGTTGTTTTGAGACAGGGTCTTGCTATGTGGTTCAGGTTGGCCTTGAACTCACTATATGGCCCAAGCTGGCCTCTATCATCCTGAGTGCTGGAATTACAGGTGGGCGCCACCACACCTGGCCTGCACTCAACTTTTAATTGATTTGTTAGCTAAGCATGTTTTGCTAAAGTCTGTGGCAATAGGCACCTGTCCTTCCTTCCCAGCTGAGAATAAATTTTTCTTCAACCTCAAGAACCTGAGGTCAGCTCAGCCAGAAGGTAATGGGAAAAGCCCTCATACTGATACTCTTCTCTACAGAAGAATTGGGAGTCATGATCTTTGAGAAGTTGGGTTGTCCTTTCCTAGGGTGACCAGAGCCAAGTCTGTCCACATGGAGAAAGACCACCCTTAACAGTGGCGCTGGTCCTTTGTTACTCGGTACCCCGACCAAACTAGGGGAATAGTGTTGGGAGTAAGAATGAGCCACACAGAACCCTAAAAAGTGAGCCAGGAAGTGGGGGGGGTCTCTGATCCTGGGAGGTTCAGGAGGTTAGTGTGTTATGGATAATCTGAGCAAATTATGGTCTCTTATTTGGAACTTTGAGAGCTGTGCATAGGATAGGTTAAGGGAGAAAAAACCTGAACATAGACTGGGACCTTCAGAATCTGACTGTCATCTAGGATATTGTTAATGGGCTGTGACTTCACACCAGCCACTTTGCCCCCACAGGAGGCAGGAACAGATGCCTCTAAGGACTATGGATTTAGGATCAACTCAACCTGGGGTAAAATGTGCAGCTGTGCTGCTTACTGGCTACATGACCTGACCATGTATCCACGTCTCTTCTGTACATAGAGAAAATTAATGTCCTTCTTAGAGAACGTGTTGAGAGTTCCTTGACATGATGTCAAAAGCCCTTAGCATGGTGCTTGGTGCTCGGCAGCTAGGATCATCATTACCTTTGAAGGCAGCATTATGAGTCTGTGACTGTATATGCAGAATGGGCACTGCTGCTGAGGGCTCTCAGGCTACAAGTGAGTGGCTGGGCTGCTCTTTTCCCTTCATTTGTTGCCAGTGCTTCAGCCCCAGAGGTGGGTTTTGCTCTGTTCATCAATCAGGGATATATTCTGCGTGGGTTCTCTTAAACTCCCAGAAGACAGTGATGTCTGCAACTCTGTGCTGTCTGAAACTCTACCACCCCTCAATCTTTCCCCTCAATCCAATCCCTGGAGCATGAGTGCCTAGGTGATCCTCAAATTACAGCATGTTTTTAAGAGCAAGAAAAAAGAAGTTGCTAATTTACTTAACCAAACTTCCTGGAAAGTCATTCTGACTCATTTTTCTAAAGAGGAAAGCTTATTATGAGTTACAATGTCTACCCACTTGGTTTAATGGGTTCCTTTGAATTTCTAAAAGATGCCTTTGCCTTCCCAACATGAATGAATTAATAGGTGGTTTGTCTCCCGGTTTTAAAGGAACTATAAAGAAGGTGACCTAAAAGCCCGTGCCCTGTGAGCACCCTCGGTGTTTTGTGAAATCCCCAAGCAGCACTAAGGGAAGTGAAATTCCCATCCCCACTGGCCAAGGAGAGCATTTTCAGACCCCAAAACAGACTTCCTGGGTGGGGAGACTTGGCAGGACATGCATCCTTCTGTTTCCTCCAGCCCGGAAGAGAGCAAATTGCCTGAGACCTCAGAATGTCTTTGTAAGAGCGCTTTTGTAGGAAGCAGGCAAAGGTTTTAGAACTTGTCTCTCACCCGTGCTCCCATGCACACAGGACTGAGCCAAGTTCTATTTAGATTGCTGAACCATCACTTCTTCAGTCCTTCCTATCATGTCCCTACCTGTTACTACTTTTTCTTCATTCTTAAGGTTGGCAATATGTTTCTGCTCTCAGTTAGTGCTTGATGAGAATACAGCCTTGTGATGCTCACAAGCCTCCAGGCTGTAACTGACCGTACCCATTAGCCAACCCTATGACATCGACCACACCACCGGGACCATAGCCTAAAACAGGAGAGAGGGCAAGGTGCAGGGCTCAGGAGGAAGGCAGGAAAGTCCAGGAACCTTTACCATGCCTCCTCCACAGACCCAGATTTATGTACACCATCACATTGAATTCTGAGAATAGGCCTATGAGATAGAGACATCATTATCCCATTTCTCTTCAGGAGGAACTTGTGAGGTTGAGAAACTGATTTGATCACAGGATCGCACAGCTTACAACCAGAGATCAAACTCAGGCCTGTGTGACTCCTTCAGGTTCTTATTGTGGCTGGGCCATGAACTCTCTGCATATAATTTGGCAAGTGTTTCCGCAGATGGACCTTTATTTTCTTCCTTACAAAGGAAGCATTTGGACTACATATTCTCTAGGGCTGAATCATAAAAGCTATGGATATAGTCCTGCTTTTCAGAACTCTTTCCCATCTTTTGTACACTTCATATTTGCATATGGGTTTCCCAGTGCTGACCAGTTTCCTTGGACTGTTTCTCTCACCTGCTCCCCATTCCCTTCTTTTTGGCTTCTCCTTCATCACCTTCCCCTCCACTGTCTCCAGTAGAGTTACTCTGACTGGGTTCTGATCCTCTGCTTGGCCCAGCTGGCAGACCCTAACCACCATCTATGGAGTACCACTTCAAGTCAGGCCCTGGGTTCAGAAAAGTAGGGAAAAGTCCCTGTCCTCAAAGAGCTTTTCTTCAAGTGCAGGAATTCATAGTTGTATTAACAGCAGACAACTGCATCTATAACGCTTTCTCAAACACATCATGCATTTGGCCTTTACAAGTACTCTGTGAGATCCAGTATTATTATCCCACTTTGCAGATGAGGAAATTGAGGCTTAGGTGGACAAGATTATTAGCTGCTTTTCCCAAGATCACTGGCCTAGCACATGATAGACTGGAGCTTGGATCTTTCTCGTGACTTGTTTACTTAAAGACAGTGGTAGGAAGACTGGGGCCAACACAGAGAACCAGGAACTGAGGACACAAAAGACTGGCAGCATTAGGACAAATGCCAACATTAGGGAGGGTGGCACAGCAGCACTGAGGGAGCCACATCCCCTGTAGGTTAACTGATCTAGTCCAAGAAACAGAAGCCCTGTCGGAACCAAAGCACACTTGCTGAGGAGGAGGAGAGAAGGGCTGGGGTCAACTCCCTCCTTCTGCTGATCTGGGAACGTTGATGATCAGCCTGCAGAGAACTTTCCCACTGCCTCCTGAGCCAATCTCCACCAAGGTCCTAACCTCCACCTCTATGCAGACTCCCTTGTCATTTAACAGAGTGGGTGGGGCAACGTTCCAAAGCCAGGTGACTGTGCAGCAAGTACCTTGGCACCTTTGTCCTGATCAAAGGTCTGAGAAGGAAGGACTCCAGGAGAGGAACTCCTTGGAACAAGAAAGGAGACCCCAGAGGTGAGGGAGGGAATTTAACTTTGTTACTCTCTCCTATTTGTCCTTTCCTCCTGGGCTCAATTGTCCTGTCTTTGAGATAGAATGACTAACATCAGGGAGTCAGTTATTTTTTGACTTTTTACAGAAAGTCCTGCCACTTAACCTTAGGAACTTCTAGCATGGCTGTGTTGGTGTTTGTTTGTGTGTTTGTTTTTGTTGTTTTTATTAT